GAGTCCTTGGCCTTGGTCAATAACAGCCCTCAGGGTACACAAGGTGCTGGTCAATTAGAAAACGCTGAAACAGTTTCTTGGTCAATATATTCACGGTCACAGTCTAATCTATGTATTTTGTAAACACTTCAGTGGATCGCTGTGTGAATTCATATTTTGCTTTCATTTGAAATTACATCACATTAGATGGTTTAACATGGGAGTGATGGATGAAACAGTGGTAGGAAGGGGGAAAACTATGAGCTATACTATAAACAGAGCTGATACATATGGATTAATTCTACTGCAATGTATTGAGCAAGACAAACATGAATTTACTGAATATCAAGAGACATTTAAAAACTGCATGAAATTCGTATTAAAATTATTTATTTCATGTCTTGCATATTTAACATTTTAAAGGTATGATTATTAAGCTTTCTGTCTCCAACACATCAATTCACTATTTTTTTTCTATGTCTGTCTGGCAAATCACTTTGAGGTTCTAAAGGACATTTAGTTCATAAATCCACTTTCACCTTCAAACAAATCCATACTCTGGTAGGGATGACTGGATTTGCTACCTGTTGTGGAATTCAAACAGCTCTCTAAAACATTTTTTTCCCCCACCCACAGAATGGAAGCTGCTGCATTTCATGTAACACTCATTTCAGATATAAAGCGGTCAGTTATGTGACATGGCTTACATTAATCATAAAAAACAGCCTTCCTATCCTTTGGGGCAAAATGAAGCATCTCGGACATGCTACATGCGTGTCCAAGCATAGCTGAGGGCTTTTAACACTGTGATGTCTGACAAAGACCATCTGGCCCACTGCAATATGGGGATAACATGTGTGCTGCTGTCAGGTCTTTTCTAAGATTCTTTAAAATGTTACAGTGAGAAATATGCAAACAATATAATAAATATAGGAAATGATGTAAAAAGGATACTGTTTGAATGCCACCACAATGTTGCTCATTGTAAATCCTCTGTGTGTTCAATTTACATTTCAAACAGTCTTTAAATTATGATTGATTTTAAATTAAATGGGCTATTCTGTTAATGAGAGGGTTTATAAAAAACACTAGTGTGTGACTGCAGTAAGAAGGCTTTCGCACCAACACCAACAGCAACACGTTTACTTTGTCAACCAAATTCTTTGCCTGATTAGCACAACTAAAAGTACTTTTTATTCTATTTTCTGGCTGTGAACTGTCAAGGCAGCAATCTGTAAGTCACATTTATGCAAATCGTTTGGTAATCATGGTAACATATGCATCACTTGGTTTCATCTTTTTTTATTAACTTTTGTATTGAAACTGAGTTTTTTTTTGTTGGGATCCAGAAGAGGAGGTTTTTGTTGAGACTTGGACTTTTGTGGAGATTTGAACTGAGATAAGGACTCATTCACTGGTGGGTGAATAGTGGGTTTTGTATTGAGCACTGACTGTATAATGCACAGTGTTAAACTTTGTGTTTCTTGTCATCAGTCTTTGAAATACCTGGTTGTTAAGTAAGTTGGAGTGATTGTCACGTACTGAAATACATTCAAAAACCTTTTTACAGGCAGACATGCATGGAATGTTTGTGCGTAAACATATTGAACATTGAATTCCAACATTATTTACATTTTGTATGTATAAAATTTCCAAAATTAGGTTGAGTTGCAGTCTTGACTTTTAATTCTAATAATTAGTTACTTCTTCGTGACACCACAAAAGATAAAAATGCTTATATGGCGCGGGAAAATTCTGTTTGATTAGTTAGTTGGTCCAAAGGCAGCTAAAAGGCAACAATGCAACATTTTATCTGGACCAAATGTGCCAGACTACAGATATACAGTGAGGAAAATAAGTATTTGAACACCCTGCTATTCTGCAAGTTCTCCCACTTAGAAATCATGGAGGGGTCTGAAATTGTCATCGTAGGTGCATGTCCACTGTGAGAGACATAATCTAAAAAAAAATAATCCAGAAATCACAATGTATGATCTTTTAACTATTTATTTGTATGATACAGCTGCAAATAAGTATATAAGAACACCTGAGAAAGTCAATGTTAATATTTGGTACAGTAGCCTTTATTTGCAGTTGCAGAGGTCAAACGTTTCCTGTAGTTTTTCACCAGGTTTGCACACACTGCAGGAGGGATTTGGCCCACTCCTCCACACAGATCTTCTCTAGATCAATCAGGTTTCTGGGCTGTCGCTGAGAAACACGAGTTTGAGCTCCCTCCAAAGATTCTCTATTGGGTTTAGGTCTGGAGACTGGCTAGGCCACGCCAGAACCTTGATATGCTTCTTACAGAGCCACTCCTTGGTTATCCTGGCTGTGTGCTTCAGGTCATTGTCATGTTGGAAGACCCAGCCTCGACCCATCTTCAATGCTCTAACTGAGGGAAGGAGATTGTTCCCCAAAATCTCGCAATACATGGCCCCGGTCATCCTCTCCTTAATACAGTGCAGTCGCCCTGTCCCATGTGCAGAAAAACACCCCCAAAGCATGATGCTACCACCCCCATGCTTCACAGTAGGGATGGTGTTCTTGGGATGGTACTCATCATTCTTCTTCCTCCAAACACGGTTAGTGGAATTATGACCAAAAAGTTCTATTTTGGTCTCATCTGACCACATGACTTTCTCCCATGACTCCTCTGGATCATCCAAATGGTCATTTGCAAACTGAAGATGGGCCTTGACATGTGCTGGTTTAAGCAGGGGAACCTTCCGTGCCATGCATGATTTCAAACCATGACGTCTTAGTGCATTACCAACAGTAACCTTGGAAACGGTGGTCCCAGCTCTTTTCAGATCATTGGCCAGCTCCTCCCGTGTAGTTCTGGGTTGATTTCTCACCTTTCTTAGGATCACTGAGACCCAACGAGGTGAGATTTTGCATGGAGCCCCAGTCCGAGGGAGATTGACAGTCATGTTTAGCTTCTCCATTTTCTAATGATCGCTCCAACAGTGGACCTTTTTTCACCAAGCTGCTTGGCTATTTCCCCGTAGCCCTTTCCAGCCTTGTGGAGGTGTACAAGTTTGTCTCTAGTGTCTTTGGACAGCTCTTTGGTCTTGGCCATGTTAGTAGTTGGATTCTTACTGATTGTATGGGGTGGACAGGTGTCTTTATGCAGCTAACGACCTCAAACAGGTGCATCTAATTTAGGATAATAACTGGAGTGGAGGACATTTTGAAGGCAGACTAACAGGTCTTTGAGAGTCAGAATTCTAGCTGATAGACAGGTGTTCAAATACTTATTTGCAGCTGTATCATACAAATAAATAGTTAAAAAAATCATACATTGTGATTTCTGGATTTTTTTTTTTAGATTATGTCTCTCACAGTGGACATGCACCTACGATGACAATTTCAGACCCCTCCATGATTTCTAAGTGGGAGAACTTGCAAAATAGCAGGGTGTTCAAATACTTATTTTCCTCACTGTATATATATATATATTTCCTTCCACTACAACTGCCCTGCCCTGATATCTGATTATACATGACTTAAATGTGTTTAATCCTCTTCTTAGATAAACTGCACCAGAGACCTGTCAATGTTGTGATGTCTTGGCTGTCAATTAGAGGTCGATAGAAATCATAAAACTCTTCCATGCCCTTTTAAAATACAGCCTCTGGTGAAACATTGTTCTGCAGTAGGTATTATCAATCATTCAAATCATAGCCGATCTGGATTACTGGTTGCCATCAGCAGCTGTCATGGATTTGTACCTCCAAGATTAAGAGTTGAATTTCTTTTTCCTTTTCAGTGAACCCACCTGCCTGTGGCACTGTTCCAGAAACATGTGAAAACTCTCTTTTCTAGTATGTTTTGCTGTCTATTATTGTGCACTGAAGAGACAAAAACATATGTGAAGGCAGGAGGAGAGGAAATTAAAATGATGCCATGGATATCTGCTGTTAAGATGCACTCTGTGGATGTAGCATTGTCAACAAAATAAACATGGCTTCGTCATTAGATGAGGAACTGTGCAATCTCTATAAGCGTTGTTTCTTGTGAATCTGCTGTGAATTGCGAGTCCTTAAATGTAAATTCAGATATGTGTGGTGTAAGTGGTGTGAGAAAAAAGTAATCAATTTTACAAACACATGATTGGCAACTCTATCACCAAACAAGAAGGTTGACGATGTTTTTTATGTCCAGTACAAATGATTTCTAAACTTTTGCACATTGCAAATCTGGTGTGGTTACAGACAGATAGGGGAAGACTGTGGTTGTGGCAAAACTATGGTGGTATGGCATCTATGGTTTGGTTAAGGTTAGGCAACTACTACTGATACAAACTCTTGTGTCCTGCATGACAGTCAGACATGTTGCAACCTTACTTTTCACCTTGCTAGATAAAAGGCAAAGTACTTTCTAGTATTGTTCACACCCCAGCTGCTTTTTAAGGAAATGATTTGACTTTTCAAGTTTTTGCTGTCGCGCTGATTAATTTTGGTTTAAATTTCATTAAGAACAGTTTTCCAAAGGGAAGCTCTATATATCTCTAAGTTAGCAGTGAACACTGTACTCCAATACAGTCTAACAGGGTAAAAAAATACTCCCAAAAGCATCCAAAGTATGCACTCTTCAACAAAATAACAGTCACACTGTAAGGAGACCTACTATATTCAGTTTTCCAATTCTCCATGACCTGAGGTTAAAGAATAATACATTTAAATGGCTATAAAACAAATTATAGATCGAAAGATACGTATTTCCACACAAAATTACCCTTTAATACTAGGTGTGATTAAATACTCCAAAGATCTTGGTATTGTTTATTCACTTTATAAAATACAAAAGTGCATTCTTCAAACATATGTCAATAGGACCATTCCTAAAATAAATAGGAAATGTATATCCAGTATGGTCCCAAAAAGACAGTTCCCACCAAACTATATAACCCTCTTGCTTCCTCCAGTCCCCCACCAGAGCCTACAGATGTGAAGTAGATTACGCCCCCTCTTTACCAGCCCCTCTTTCCACTGCAAAGAAAGAAATCATTCAGCTTCAGCCTTTTCTACGAAACACCCCTCTCCCCTACCTCCCCCTCCCAACAGCAGACAGGGGCACACAGGCGACCACGCTCTCCAGCCAAACCCTAATTGTGAGTGCGTGTGTCTGCATTTTTCCCCCCCTGACATGAAGAAGGAAACCAAGTGAGTATTTGTTCTCTCTGCTTGTGAATGGTCGTTCTGAGCCTTTTGAATCGTTTTGCTTGACTGAAAAAGTGGAGGTGGCAGGATTTAGCTGTGAAAAAGTTCTAGAGTTGGGTAAGTTTGGTTTTTGGATTTATAAAACTTTTGTTATAGTGTATAATGAGAGGCTGGGGCTTTCTCACCTGGCACTCCGTTGCCAAAAGTAGAGAAATATAACTTACAAACAGCCTACTGTTACATTTTTTTGGCATTTATATGTTTACACATAATTAAATTACTGTTTGGTTGTAAAATACTGTTGAATAGAATAGAGAGAGACTTTTTTTCAATGTCAGATAGTATTTATGTACAGTACATGTTGATATACTGTATATGTGTTTATATGTATAGGTGTGTGTGTGCAAACATCTCTCTACTTATCTGCCCAATTATTATTCTGCCAAGTTTGTCTCCACCTTACATGATTACCTTTGAGGCCCGTGAACCTGTGAGGCCTCTCTTTGCTGTACTGGCTTATTGCCAAATACCTTGTTGTCATAGCAACACTGAAGCGGTTGAGTGTTGCCACACCTACAAAACACACCTGTTCAGTCTTTTACAAAAGCGGCCAAGGGGCTGAGATTAGCTCTGATCCACAGCTCAGGATGTTGCCATGTATCGAATTAAATATGCACTTTTACAACTGAAAGGCTGGAAAACTTTAATTGGTAAATGTATCACAACCATGCAAATCTGCAGATGGCATAATTCATAAATTCATTCTATTGATTATATAGCAGCTGAAAAAATTAATCGATTAACTGAGTGACAAAAGAAGAAGAATCGTTTAAGTAATTTTTTAGTTAATGTGCTAAACATCCTCCTGTTCCAGTTTCTGAATTGTGTAGATTTGCTGCTTTTGAAAATCTTTTAGTTTTGGACAGCTGTGCGTACAAAATAAGTAGTAATTTGAAAACATCGCCTTAAGCATTTCTGTACCGTTTTCTGACATTTTTTTGACAAAATGATAATTGAAAAAGTAATCTACAGATTAATTGATAAAAAAATATAATATTTTAGTTGTAGTCCTGGGTTAGGAAATGATTTAGCATAAGCATAAGTCTGGATACTGGCCATAGTCTCAGCTACCTGTGAAAAGTTGTTCTGGATGTCCAGTTAACAGTAGGTGTGGAATATTTAGTTGTATAGTATTGAAACAATCAATCAATAATCACTACACTGCTGTCAGAAGATTTACAGTAGCTTTTCTCTAAATATTACAAACAAGAACTGAAACATCCTGATGGTGTGGTGTTCTGACCTGCTTTCCTTCTACAAGCAAGCTTCTGCTATTTTAAGCCAAAAGAAAAGTCAGCCTATAAAAGCCACTTCACAATGACAGATTCTTCAAAGTGGAGCCAAAAAGGTCACTACAGGCCACAGAGTCTAACACAAACACTGTTTCAACTGAACCATAAGACGCCAGAGTGGAAATTGTGCAGACATTTTCCAAAGACAAAGGAAACAGCTCCTGCCAGTATGTGATACAGAGAAGAGCATGTGTGCTTCTAGTTAGCAGGCGTTTTAGAGACTGAATTAATGTCACAAAATGTCCTTTGACTTGTACCTTTTACTGCTGCCATGGTAATTGAACACAGAGACAATAAAGTTATATTTTAAGATGAATTACATTTCCATTTGGCCGTATTCTGTCATTAGGCTGAAATTATTGTCACTCTATGCCATTAGGTTTAGATTTATTACAATCCAGACAAGTGCAGTACAAGTTCAGAGTAATAAAAAGGTTGGGACATGCTGTGCTGCAGCTCTCCAATCAAGGAGCTTTAAATGTCTTTGAAGACGGAGACACAAATTCAGCATTCAAATGTTTTCTGCTCTTAATTTGTGACAAGTTTCACAGTAAATTCTCCTGCAATTCAACATAAAATGACTTTATAAGATGTTTTTCTTTTGCACACTGTACAGTTTGGTGTGGTGTGTTTAAGGACAAAGACTAACGGAGATAAAGTAACAGATATCTATTCTAGTCCAAAGACGTTTAATATTGAAAATATTTTGTATTCAAACTGTCCAAATAACAAACCTCATTCAATCATGACGTGTCACCGGTGGAAAAAGTCATTAAACCAGTTTTATTTGAGTGTCTGTCTGTTACAATGCACATGTCAAATTAAATGAGCAAACATATCACTCTAAGATCATGATGCAGAGCTCCTGGATTGTGTCTCTGCATGCAATCTGGTTTGGCTTGAAGGTTTCTATTTACTGTTCTTGTTACAGCTGCTGCAACATATGTGAGGTCACCATTTAAAGTAAACAGGGGCTGGGGGCGCAGGGGGGGTAACAGCCAACAGTTGGTTGATTTATGGGTTTGGACCACACCACCACTCATCTTAAAATAAATAGACAATTTTACAGTGTCCGCTCTAGCAAGCATGACTGGGTGTTTCACGAGAGAACATGGCCATAGGTGCAAGACAACCAACTAAAAGTTTCACATCAGCTATGAGAGGTTGAAATAGTTTCAAGGCTGCTGAAAAAGTAAACCGCAGCTGAAACCAAATGTGCTCTGACAGCAGAAAGAGCTCTACAATGCCTCTACCTCACAGGCCTGGCCAGGTTTTTAAATATATTTCCAGATGCAGAAGAGAAAGGCACAAATGGCAGTGATAATTGATAAAGTGAGACTGCTATTTGACTGAACACTGTAACACATGCAGGGAGGAGGGGCTAACACTTTGAGAAAACAAACCCCCTTTGTGATGAAATCCCACCTGATGTTAGAAATTAGGAAGGCCGCTCCATCTCTGTACACTCATGTGTTGAGGATGTAGATGTTTTGAAAGATCCACAACCACTGCTGTGTGGTGCAATGTCAGCTTTAACAGCCCTAGTGTGACGCAACTCATGCATCTGCTACAGTGAGCCATGGCCCAGCCACAGAGTGTGAGGCCATCTCCAGTTTGTAAACATAACACAAGCTGCGCATAACTTTGAGCAGCATTTTTACAGCACTGGTGATAGCAACAGTGGGAAAAACATGAATAAACAAACAAAAGCACAATGACAGATGACAATTGCTGTAATAATTAGAATCATATGAAACTGAAGACTTAATGATGAAGTTTCAACATTACTGAACACTTATTGTTGACATTTATGTCATGGTTTTGGGATTGAGTTATGTAATTTCTTGATTTATTTTGAAAGAATCCTTCCTTGTGTGTCTTGTGTTTTTTTTACTTCCTGCCTTTGTGTGTTTCCCGCCTGTTTGATTATCTGCCCTGCCCTAATGAGTTTCACCTGTGTCTTGTTATCAGCCCCTCTCTAGTGTATTTAGGTCAGCGTGTCTTCATCTTATTATCAAGTGCTCCTGCCTTTTCTTCTGTTCGTTGGCTTATTTACCTGACTTATTTGGATTTCCTAGATTTTGTATTCTTGTCTGTTCAGTTTTGAAATCGTTTGCTTTTTGTACTTCTGTTCCTGGTGTTGACCTTTGTCTGCCTCTATTCTCTGTACGCCAGAGTACTTTTGGATTAATTAGTGAAGCCATTGAACAGATTCTGCTTTACCTTGGTGTTCTGCATACTCAAGATGAAAAATTTGAACATCTGACCTACAGAGGATACTTGATACTTTAACGTAACCTGGCAGAACTTAGGTCTGATTGACCTTTGGTAGCCTGGATGTTTAAGTTTGGCGTCTTCATTTCACAGATCCAATTTGAGCAACCTGCGTTTAGAATTGTTTTTAAAGGTGTCAATATTTCAATGTTATAAATTCAGTGGAAATTACACATTTTTACATTAAGTATTTGACAATAAATCCATTAAATTTCTAAATGGGTGTTGCTTGTAAAATTGTTATTATTATAATAGGTTGTAAATTCCATCTCTGATGTTGGAAAGCAAGACCTCCAAGTCCTCCTAATATCACTTGATCAAACTTACTCAATTAATACAATGGCCTGCTTCTTTGACTATATATTGCATTTCATAAAGTTATATAAAAAGGTGTTGTTTATTATTGATATTACAAAAGTTCAAGAAAAGGGAAATGTCAGCTGATAAACTATGCATCGATGTGAAATGCTTTCTGCTAAAATATACAGTGTGAGATTCACATTTTTGAGCCACTAAAATTAAAGATTAAATAGAAACTATTTCTATATTACTGAAAGGTACAGTTTGACAGAAGAAATGACAATAAGGAAATGTCTAAAGGTCATGAGACAGATCTAAGTCCCCTTTTTGCAATTTAGCCTTTGATGCCACCAGAGTGCCTTTCTTTTGGCATAATAACTGCACAATGTTTGTGTGATTTATAAAAAGCTCCTTACATGGAGATGCAGAAAGTACCATGGGAAAACTTTAGATTAGACTTTAAGGTGTGCTAATGTAACCTAATAAACAGCCAGTGGTCCTCAGTGGTTCTTTAGATTCACAGCTGAATCACGGAAAATTTGAAGTGTTATTCCCTGCTGACTGAGGCAGAAGAGTGGAGAAGCTTGGATTTAAAAGATGATGGTGGACAAATGAGGGTCCACACGTAATATCCCCTTAATGCCCCAAAGTTGTGAAGAGATATTAACTTTTTTTTAAATTTATACACCAATTTACATTTTTTCCATCGTAGCATGGTGACTTATTTGGTAATACCACTGGGGACACTGAGTGAATGAGTTCATTTTGAAGGATGAAATAATTATGTCCATGGATTTACTACAGTAGTGCTTTCTACAGACACTACATGTATAAAAAAGGGTTACAGGATAGTATAATGTTTGACTAGAAACCAAGATAAAAGTTATAACTGTCACTGTCTGGTCCAAGCCAGGACACTAAAATTTTCATATCACTAAAAGCAGTAATTTGACATTTTGGGAAATCTGTTTATTTGCTTTTTTACAGACAGATGACAAGATTGATACCACTCTCGTATCTGGTTATTAAATATGAAGCTACAGTCAGTGGCCGGTTAGCCTAGCATAGCATAAAGACAGGAAACAGAGGGAAACAACTACACACTTGCATGGACCATGTTTGTGCCCTTAGAGTTGCTGGTATGTGGATTTTGTTATCTTTGGACAAAGCCAGGCTAACTACTGTTTCCAGTCTTCATGCTAAGCTAAGCTGATTTAGTATAAAAACATGAGTGTGTTATCAATCTTTTCATCTCACTCTCTGCAAGAAAGCAAATGTGCGTATTTCCCAAAATGTTAGACATCTACCTCTTCACCTTGGTTTAATAAATATCAGAAATGTAACTGTTTATTGTAACTTATTTATGTGTTAAATTCTCCACAAGGAAATGTACAGTTTCCACCACAGTGATCAAGTTATTCACAGTCACTCACCTCCTTCTCTTCCTAGGTTACCATGTGGCATTGTTGGATGCACTTCATCTTGGCCTGGATATCAATGGCAACCCCAACGCTCTGCCAAAGCGGAGATTGGGGTTCAGGCTTTGACATCTACTCTGAAACAGCGGCCACCAATGACACGTCGCAGGCAGTTGGTGATGAGCCTGTGAGGATGAGAAACAACCAAGACTGGATCACATCAGCAGCTTCCTCTCCATCACCCTCACCTACACTGCTGTATGAGCCTCAACCGGACAAGTGCTTTGTCCACTTCAGCACTAACGCTGCTTCAGCTCGAAGGCTGAAGGCCCAGAAAGAGGAGCTGGCCTACCTGCAGGCCATCCAGCATGGAAACAAGGCAGTGATGGAGAGCTTGGAGCAGTTTGTGGGGGCAGAGCTGGGAGATCTGAGCTATGAGGATGTGATTAAGGAAAATATCCTTGGCATCCACGAGGACCAGAAGAATTGCCACGAGGTGGTAGAGAAAGCTGAAGAAGATCTAGAAAAGCAGCTGGAGGGGGAAGTGTCGGGAGTCATCGCTGGGATGCAGAAGTGAGTGCATCAGTGCAATAAATCAGTTTTTCAAGAAGTAAAATAGGTCATATTATGCTTGGCTTTTCCCCTTTTTCCCTTTTGCTTTACTTCCGTAAACTATCTGCGTGACTTTGTAACACACAGCATAATTCTCGCCTAGCAGTCATCAGGCATTCCTTCAAAAACACAGGGGGAAAAAAACACTGAGCTGCAGCACACAGTGATAAGTTGTCCACCCGCTGCCTCCACTCTTCCCCACGCTCCCTACCAAACGTTAGGCAGTCAATGAACATAAAGTTGTTACTGTGATGTAGAGACAAATGTTACGGATGAAAGATCAATTTGATACAAATTAATAACTCACCACTCTGAAACTCTTGCTCCAGTCTAGGTTGCGAAGCTGGTTCGGGAACATCTACTACTGAACCAAAGTCCTGATTACTGGCTTGTCAGGACCCACTCTACTCTTCTTCTGATTGGCTATAGTCCTTAACTAGCTGCTGTGAATGTGCAACTCCCAACCAAGATCAAATAGAACACACAGGTTCAAAAGAGGAGCTGTACGACAAACATATGGTGTTTTTTGAAAAAGAAACCATGTAAACTTATTCTCGTACAACCCCTAAATAAAATTAAGAACCTGAAAATGATCATAATATGACCTCTTTAGAAAGAATGTGTTTGTTCTGAGCTTCATAAAGGTTGAAATGTAAAGAGAGCAGAAAAAAAGACCAGCTCTAGTTTGTTGGTGTAATGAAGATGTAAACAAATGAACCAACACAGAAATTGGATGTATTGTGAGTTAAGATCTATGTTCCAGTGATGGCCAACACAGGTAGTATTTTGCCATTTATCAGAGCACAGGCGACTGCATTGCTGTTTCATCCTGTCTTTCACAATGTCAGTGAAAAGCAAACATATTTCCATCCTATAGTAGTTGTTGTGCCTTTGCTTGCAGTCTTGATCGGTTTCAAGGTTTCTGGTTTACTACTCTTCTTCCAGCTGCTGTAACATGTGTGTGGTCACAATTGAGTATCCTGGGAAATTGTTGTTGTGACATTTCATAAACTAAACAATTAACAGACAAAACACTTAAAAGATTATTTGTTCATCAAAATAACCCAATAGTTGCAGCCCAGGAGAGGAATAACTCTGAATCCAGTAATTCACCTGAAATGCAGCCGCATGTTCTTTAATGAAGGTTGAGCTATCCAAAAGATTTCATTTGCAAAGGCTCAGTACAAAGTATCCTCCTAAGAAGCATTCATGTCTACGCATACAGATATTATACATGGTTTGGTGCACCTCTAATCTGACTATTTTTTACAACATGCACTGTGTTTGCAAAATGACCCTCTTGTTGTCTCTGTCATGCTTTAGTTTGTAATTTCTTTAGCATAATATATGATTCTGTCTTCCTCTTTACACAGTCTTTATAATGATATAACCAGCCTTAACATTAACCATATATGACTACCTCCCCTCCTCTCCCCCCTTAATGTGTTCAATATCGCCTGCTTACTCTGTCTCTCTCCACTTCCCGACCATTTTTCTTTCTTCCCTTCACTCCACCTGGTGACCTGCTTTGTTTGTCTTCCGGAGCAGAATCAGACAAGAGTCCTTGGCCTTTGAAGACATGCTCCGTACTGCAGCGGACATCGCCAACAGGCTAGAGATCTCATCGCAGGTTCTGCACGCTTCATTCACCAAGCAGCTGAAAGACATTGCCAAAATTCACCGCTAAGGAAGCGCTGAAAAGACTTTGTATACTGCTTACGTGTCAACCTCTAACTTGCAAATGATGTTTGGTGTCCTGTATAAGACCCAAAATAAAGGAAATAAACCATGCAATTCTATGTTTGTATTAACTGTCGGTGCTTAAAGATGCAACTGAGATACAAAAAAAACAGCAAAGTAATAACCCTGTAACCCAAAAAAACTTATTTTCCATCCAGGCATTATTTGTGGAATTTGGTGAGGTCAAATGTGGCAGCAGTATGTGGCACAGGTTTAAGCCAAGTAGAGTGTTTATGGATCAAACTAGACTGGCCTTCAGAGACCAAATATAATGGCTCCGTTAGTCTTCTCCAGAGGAAGCTATGTATCGACCATCTGGTTCCAGGGTGAGGATGGAGGCCAGGATACGCTTAGTGTGTTCCAATGCAGAGTCTGTTTTTGCAAAAAAAAAGATAGCAACTGTTATAAAGTATTTTATGTGCTGTTTGGAGAAAACTGTGCAATAATCTGTGGACAGGGGGACAAGTTACTAAATAAGCAATTAGACGACTCCTGTGATTAGGAAGAAATAAGCAGCAAACACTATAACAAAACTTGCTGAATCTCTTAAAACAGACAAACTCTGCATCTGTACATTGTTTAAATTACTGCTTACAAGATTTTACACAGAATGTAAACCTTGTGATGAGAAAATAAAAGCTATTTGTGGATTTACCCATTCAAACGTGAGTATTGTGTATTAGTTGGGTGTCCAGCTCCATTGTGCTATTCTCTCTTTAACCCTGCCAAGACACATGAGAGAGAGAGAGAGAGAGAGAGAGAGAGAGAGAGAGAGAGAGCTTTCATGTTTGCAATGATATAATGTGTAATAATATGAATTTGTACAATGTATGATATGAAAAATGTTTTGCCCTCTAAACAGCAACAAACAATACATTTGATACTTTTTTTGAAAGATTAAATGCTTTCTGTATTTGTTGCCATGCTTTCACATCTTCTACTCAGTGTTTTAGGGGAAATAAAACATCACGGAGGATCATAGGTGTCATTTACACTGGGGACGCTGGGGACATATCCCCACCACTTTTTGAAATAGCTGATTTTGTCCCCATCACTTTTTGAAAGCATTTGTAAGAAAATTTTCTGATAACCAACCTTGAGAAAGGTTTATTTGCACTAAAAGAAAACATGTAATGTAAATATATAAGAAATAAATATGCACTGCCAAAAAAAGAGTAATTTGAGCTAAAAAAAACAAGCTACTAATTATTGCATTATATTCAATTATATTTTTAAAATTTGAATTGTCACCTGCCGCATTAATTTTGGGTTTCCCTTTAAAGCCTATAAATAAAGACATTTCCACCAAAAACTGGTGCAGAAAATTTCTCCAGAATGCAGGAAATAGTGTTTAATGCTCCACATTACTCCCAGACTCCTCCACTCATATATCTCAGCATTTAATATTTCTTTAAAATAGTGTTTAAGTATTTTATCATCATGTTCTTGTGACCCCTATATTGTGCATCCTCAAATCTTGTGAGCTAAGTGTATCGTCACACTAAGTGAAGCCCTTGCTGAGGATATTAATTCACCTAGTCTGCCCTCTAGCTGTTTTCCACAGAGATATCCCACAGGTGTTTGTTCAGCTGCATGTGTCACTTATTTCCACAGCCTTAATGTTTTACAAAATAACTAAACGGTCAGTCTGGAGCAAACGAGATCGAATAGGAGTAATCGGTTGATCAGAGAGACAGAGACAGAGAGAGAGAGAGAGAGAGAGAGAGGAGGAGGAGGGACCGTTATAGGTACCAGATGAAAGTAAACCCGAAGTATTCACTGTCCTGTCTTCTCACATTGGATAATGCTGTTTTGCGGACATAGTGGCCACTAACAATGCTTCAATCTAATCACGGAAAAATAACTAATTAAATTTTTTTAAATGGTTATTAAAGTCTTAGCTTTGGTCACTAAGGACGCGTAAATTCTTGGCACCCTGAGTAAAAACTTGAATTCTTGTTTTTTTTTTTGGATTAGCCTACATCTACACAGCAACAACCCGTGAATTAATTTCTTGAGACCAGATGTGTAAAGGCAGTAGCATGAACAGGCACTTAAGACTGCAAATACACCAGAGGTGAGCTACAGTGCCGCTCTCTGATTCAGCACCGGGTGATGGATAGCTCACCGACTTAGTGCGCGCACAGGCTTTCAGAGCGCGGAACCAATTTGGCACGGCGCAAGTGAGGAGGGCGACACGTCTTTCGATGCTCCGAAGTTATTCAGTCACAGCATCGTCATCCTCACTCCCCGCCCACGGATATAAGCGCAGCGGTAGTAACAGTAGTGGTGAAGTTGTCCTGATATGCCTCCCGGCTGCGAAGATGACAGATTTTGCTCACACATCACGGTCTCAAGGTAATGCTGTGGCAGTGGGCAGAAACACCTCCGTGCTCTCCGATGAGGTCGGACTTCTTGCTACCAGAGTACAAAATGGGACACAACCACCTGGTCTGTGTGAAGGCGGCTATTCTCTGTGCGCTGCTCCTGTGTCCGTCAGGTAAGTTAAGCACTTTTTAATTATTTTCTCGTGGCCTCAGTGTGCCTTTCAACGGAGTTACGCATGCTACCATAGTGTAACAGCATAGAGCACTTGACAGTCAGAGCTGCTTAACATTTATTTTTATTTATTGGGACGGTTGTAAGTGATAAAAACTAAGTAACGTTACCTTTCAATCGTAACACATGCGCGCTTTAACCCTTTCCTCACAAATCAGCGCCTCGCGCCTGTCTGGTAAAAGCTACAAAATGAGTCCCAAGTGCCATAGGATGGTTTGTAACGTTATTCGTTTGACATCATGGCAGTGAAAGCCAGAAATTAACTGTGGAAGTGAGTTGTTTCCCCAGTCTGTGGTCTTTTATTTATACCGTCTCAGAGTTTGGTAGGCTATTCATAATCACGCAAATTTTAGAAATGGCCAAAGAGAATCAGCGTACTACACAAAAAAGTAAAAGTCCCCAGAAGTGTGTGAGAAAACATGCCACACAATATGCTGCAAAAGACTATTAATAATTATATTTCAGTGGATGTTAATGGTCACAGATATGTTTCTCAAAAGTAGCAATGGACACATAAAGATGCATATAGTCAGAAATGGGGTAGGATTCAGGTTTAAACCCCTTAAAGTCATTCTTAAATTTTAGTTCTCCAACTTGTTGTTTTAGAAAGTAAATAATTATACTGCATCTGTTGTGCACATTTGTTTTAAAGGATAAGACCGTTTTGTGGACATATTTGTGCAAACAGTGTTTAAGATGGTTAATTTCACTTTGACTTCATGTCCATCCGACTGATAGTGGAACTCGGGGCAGCTCTGTCTGAAGGACATGTATGAGTTCCTTCTTCACTCAAATGTAAGCAAGACTGGAGTGCACAAACAACTGCCTTCTCAGAAGATAGAACATAGTGAGGGAGAGTTTAAAAACACAGCTTATAGTTTCATGTTAAATGTGTCAGATGTGCAGGTGCTTGATCTTGTGCTAATGTACTTCTCATTAAGACACTGACACAGTCATTCAATTTTAGTCAACTCAAGCAAAATTGTTGCTGTTTTTTTTTTTGTGAACTTTTTGACAGCCCAATTTCACGAGAGCGCCTCTGGCTTGAGAAGCTGCTGACTCGATCATCCTAACCGGTCAGTGTTTCATACACCTTTCGCCAAGGGGCTTGGCAATGGTCCACCATCCACAGCCCAGTGTGCTGGATGTTGGAGGTGTCATTTCATTTCAGGTCTCCGCTGGCAGGAGGCTTTGATCTATGGCACCCAAGAACCTTTTTTTTTTCAAGCCCAACATCTGGTCTGTCACAGATGCATGGACAGATGAACGTGCACCGCCCTGGCTGTCAAGAGAACAGATAAGAAGTCTCTGGTGCCTGCTTGTTGGCCAGAATGAAATTAGTTCACGATGGCAGGAGAGGAGCCCAAGTGTACTATGGGCAAATTAACTCTGAATTCATACTACTTACCATGTCTAATGACTCTTTTTTTGCTAAAGCAAAAAATCTCTTGCATAGTCTTTTCACATGATATCCACATATCTCTGTTAAAGATCCTCACGCCAAGGAATTAGCAATCAATAAATCATTGAAACAGATTTGCATGTAGCCCTCAGGTTAGCTCTGTGCATACTTTTTAAGCCCCCCACCTGGTTCCACAGTTACGGGTGGTAAATACTTCAATGTGGTCGTCAGAACTACAACTCAGCCATGGACAGGTAATGATGTGACCTTGTCTAAGCAACCATGACTGGTGACAGATGCATGTGGCCCAAGGTCTCGTTTCAGGATCGTTGATGGAAGCATGCTTAATTGGCTTGCATTATTCCCTTACACTGTCGAACAGAGATCCAGAGGGAGTGGGTGTTAATGGCATGTATACCCAATGGCATCTCAATAGATTTCTTTTAGTACTGACTTCTTGAGGTTAAGGCCTTGGTGTGATGCATTAAATGTTGTCTTTCTGTACATTTAACAGTGAATATGTTTCCAGCATTTGTAAAAAAATAAATAAATAAATAAAGGAAATTAAACAAAGAAAAAGGAAAAGAAAAAATAACACAGGGTCACACATACTGTTTACTCTAGAGCAGGAAAGATAAAGTTGCTGATATTTAGATTATTTCCGTTATTACCGGTATCGTGTATAGGCCTATGTCAAGACATTCCAGTACAATAAAGCCAAAGAGATGTTTTGAGGTAGAAACAATGTTCTGCTTGGTTCAGCACGTATCTTGGTCACAATTCTTCAAAAGGAACAGTTCAACGTTTGACATGGGGCCCACTGTCATGTCTATAAGCTTGAGCTAGCTGCTGGTCAGTTTTTACTTTATTTTAATATTAATACAAGAGAAAGAATGACTAATTCAGGTCCACAAATATACACTGAGCTATCTCTCTCTCTCTCGCTCTCTCTCTCTCTCTCTCATTCACTCACTCACTCACAATTTTAGCTCTAATTTTGTTAAGAAAAAGGACACTGGCGATATATGATCATCGGATTTTTAAAAACTCTAAATAGTCAAGTATTGGTTCAAAAATCCTGCATCGGTCAAACACGCACTATTGTCACCCTCTGCTTCGACAAGTGAAAACTGTCAGTAAACTGTTTTCTGCATCAGTTGTAACACAGAGTGACTGACAGCTCGACAATAAACACCCCTCACTAGTGAGGAATTAACTCACCTCCACTTAACACAAGCAAGTAACGATGTGTGTAATTGACTCTGGCTACATTGATGAAGGTGCACGCAGTAATCCCCAAGAGATTCCTGTCTATTTCCATATTTTATTCATTCTGCAGAAAAATAATGCAGTGACTCCGTCTGAGCTTGTAGGCAAATATGTCTAGATCTAGATCAAAATCAATTTGATTAAGCCACTTCTCATTGTGAAGCCACATATATTACTAATAAAACTAATACTAATTATACTACTACTACTACTACTAATAATAATAATAATAATAATGATGTTTAATGTGCAAGAGTAAAGATAGAGGTTACATCAGCAATGTTGCCGTTGAGCTCAGATCAAGGGATCAAAAGATGTGCTAAGATGTGGGAAAGTCAATAAGACTTTAATAAGAAAAGTCATAGATGTTTAGAGCAGGCTTCTGTGCTGAAACATGACATGGTCACAACACTCATCCTCACTCCCAAAAGCCACAACATCATGCCAACCTGATTTACTACTGTTTGTTAAGTGAGAATTAAGGGAGACACGGATGAGAGAACATGGATATGATCCCAGCATTCCCTGTGCAACTTACTCCTGTCCTCTTGCACTGTACTTACTTTCCATGTAATTGTTACAATCTCTAAATATTATACCATCAAATATGAACTGCTGAATGCTAACAAAACAAGTTAGAACTGTCCAAATGATCTTGGTGTCAAAATATGAAAAGGACTTTAGTGCAAACATCAGTTACTTAGGTTTCAACAGTTTCATATTAGCTTATATAAATGTTGAAAAACTCTATATTGTAGTTAGAGAGAGAGTTTTGTGAAACATTTTATAGATCTATTAACTACACATTTAAATAAAAAAAGAGGGGAGTGAAATTTAATAGAATCTGGAATTTAATTTGTACAGTGTTGAACAAATGTGACCAATAACTCATATAAATTCCATTCACTCTTATACTGTATCTGCCCCTCTATAAATATTTAATATTTTTAAATGAAAATAAATAATTTATCTACAGTTCTTTGCCACGAGAAGACCCATTCGCATGCTGAGGACGATCTCTTCAAGACGTTGTTTGCTGGTTACAACAAGTGGTCGAGGCCCGTGCCAAACATCTCTGACGTGGTCATTGTCAAGTTTGGACTGTCCATAGCACAGCTTATTGACGTGGTGAGTCATTGTGCATGGTCTGATTACAGCAGGTTTGTCCAATTACTACATAAATGCATTAATAAAGGTGATATTTAAACACAAGGTCTTTTTGGCAAGGTCATAGCTGCTGCTTTGAATGTGAACCAATGACTTCATTATAGGATTATGTCATTTTCCTCTTTCCTTACAAACACGCAGTTTGTCTGTTAAAGTTGAAACCCCCTTTACTAAAGACATGGATTTTTATATGTGACTTTGGTTACATGTGAACAAAATGCTACATGTTTCGAAGTCAATCTGAGAAGAAGACATTTTTGTTTCTTTGTCAATGCAACTAATTCCTAGAGCTTTAATTAGTATGATTAATACTCCCCAGTCTTCTGTACACTTCCCAAAACTTAAGCTGCTGCAACTTTTACCCTTTTTACCTTTAAGTTTTACACTACGTGGTTTTTCAACAGTATGTTTTGGCATTTTTATATACAGTAGCAAAAATAAACTTTTGTTGAGTATGAACCCTCTGCCTTGTCACATAGGAAACTGTTACACAACACTTCACATCCATCAAGTTTCTGAAGTAAAGTTGCTGCAAGTTATATTTTGGGTCGACTATGACAAACCTCCAAGAACCTCTCGCATATATATTCTTCTGGCCTGAACCCAGAGTTGACAGCCTTAACTCAGTCTCTATGTCTCACTGTCTCTCTCCCTCTCTCTGTCTGTCTGTCTGCTAGGATGAGAAGAACCAAATGATGACAACCAATGTGTGGCTTAAACAGGTCAGAAACATTTGTCTCCGTGTTGAGTTGTTATTAAGATTTATTTTCTCTGAGTTATACACAATGTTAAGAAAACCTTCCTCTACAGTGCTCATTTGACTGAGTTTATGAAGAATTGAATGACTTAAATGACAATTAAGTAAAGAAACATAGCCACCAAAAACATCTGGCGTTTGTATCTCCCAGGAGTGGAATGACTACAAACTACGCTGGAGACCATCCGACTATGACAATGTGACGTCCATAAGAGTGCCGTCAGAGCTCATATGGGTACCAGATATTGTCCTCTACAACAAGTAAGTTTGACATGAGACAAACATAACAGTAAAAGAGTTTAACTTTAACAATAGGACAATTAGTTTCATTAATGTTTAATCTGTCAATCATTCTGTTTATTAATTAATTCATCATTTTGTCTATAAAAAGTCAGAAAATAGTGAACAGTGGCATCACAGTTTCCCAGAAGCTGACTTGTTCAAAATGCTTGTTTTGTCCAACTATCAGCCTAAAACTAAAAGGAGTTCAAATAATTCACATCTGAATAGCTTGAACCAGAAGAGTTTTTTTTGCTTAAATGATAAATTGATTATTTAAATTGTAGCCAGTGGATGCTTGTAATGGCGAGAAGAGAAGAGTCTAACAGCTAGAGTCATCATGCAATGATAAATTGGGTCAAATTGATGCCTATGATGGTAAATGGTATGAAGATGGTGCCATCTAGTGGACTTAATAAAAACTATTCTGCTCCTCAGTTTAAATTTACTACATCTACGCCATCACATTGGAAGACAGCCCTAGATCAAATAATGATAGAAGATTCTTTCCGGCTCAAACTTTAAGCTATGTCAGACATTGTGCGTCTCTGTTAAGGCTGCTGTTTGTTCATTTAAAAATGAAAGACAACCTTCACATGTGCATCGCTTCACTGTGATTCTGCCGTGAAACCGATTTTACGAAACCCCTCCCTTCTCCTAAATTTACCTCCCTGGAGATTAAACTGAGAGGGTTGATGATGGAGTTCAGCTCCATCGAGCCAGTGTAACCACAATCTGTAAGTGGAATTAAAAAAGGTGTGAAACTGATGAAATGATAAGGACTCATCATTATGTTTTCAGCAGAAGCTACAGTGTTATCACCATTAAAGCAATGAATAGAGGGGAGATTACTGAAGAAGGTTATTATTGGGAATTCATTACACTTTGTCACTGCTTAGTTTCTAAAGTGAAAAGTGTTTTTCTCAGCAAAAGGTAGTAGAACTTCTCACAATGCTTAGCTGCTATTTTAGCCATTGTCACCATTACTTATATAAGAACTTCTTATTTTCCAGTGCTGACGGTGAGTTTGCTGTGACCCACATGACGAAAGCTCACCTGTTCCACAATGGTCAAGTTCGCTGGGTCCCTCCTGCTATTTACAAGAGCTCCTGCAGCATCGACGTCACCTTCTTCCCCTTTGATCAGCAGAACTGTAAAATGAAATTCGGCTCCTGGACGTATGACAAGGCCAAGATTGACCTGGAGCGGATTGAAAACACCGTTGACCTGAACAACTACTGGGAGAGTGGTGAATGGGCCATCATCAACGCTGTGGGAACATACAATACAAAGAAATATGACTGCTGCCACGAGATCTACCCAGACATCACCTACTTCTTCATCATTCGAAGGCTCCCCTTGTTTTACACCATCAACCTCATCATCCCCTGTTTGCTGATCTCTTGCCTCACTGTTTTGGTTTTCTATCTACCCTCAGACTGTGGAGAGAAGATCACCCTGTGCATCTCTGTGCTGCTATCCCTCACTGTTTTCCTTCTCCTCATAACGGAGATCATCCCGTCCACATCCCTCGTCATCCCGCTCATTGGCGAGTACCTCCTGTTCACTATGATTTTCGTCACCCTCTCAATTGTCATTACTGTCTTTGTGCTCAACGTGCACCATCGCTCTCCCAGCACTCACAAGATGCCCCATTGGGTCCACTCCGTGTTCCTGGACCTGATCCCGCGCTGGCTGTTCATGCGACGGCCCTTACCAGATGGACGGCAGCGCAGGCTGTTGGTGCTCCAGCAGGAAGCTGTGGTAGAGCGGCAGCAGGGCCGGATAGCCGGGTACAAATCTACAAACTGCCTCAGCACCTCGGCTAACTGGTTAGGAGATGGGACCCCGTCAGAGGACCCTGAGAGAAGCAGTTACGAGGATTTAGAGCTGGGAACACTGACGTCATATTTCTCCTTCCGCCCTCCTTCGCCCAGACCTCCAGGGTCGACTCCTCCACCACAACAGAAAAACCCACAGAACAGCCAGAACCGACAGGAGGGGGCTTCAGGGACAAACAGACAGTTAACGGGAGCCAAAGTCAATCTCACTCAGAGGGCAACTAAAGTTGATAATACAGTATCAGACTCAACGCACCTGCTTTCACCAAGTGTTATGCGCGCTCTAGAAGGGGTACACTACATTGCAGATCATCTGAGGGCTGAGGATGCTGATTTCAGCGTGAGTAACAAGGAAATAGCACATCTACTATTATCAGAATGGCACTTAAAAGGCACTTGTCATTTGCATCACTGTTGGTTCATGATTGCCTTCATCCAACTTCGTCATAGTATATGTATTATGTGGCCCTGTGAATGTGCTGCATGCAAAAAATGCACTTTGTTATAGCAAACAATACCTCAACTGGGAGAGACTAACTAAAAGAAAAGTATGGCTGAGAGTCATTGCTTTGTATTTAAAGGTGCACAGGGGAGGACTGAAAGCAAGGTGGGCTTAGGATCTTCCTAAACTGAAATCATAAACAGAAAACAAGCAGTTTAACTTTAACTAGGGCCACAATTAATGATTATCTTTAGTTAGTTAGTTATGGTTAGAAAATAGAAATACAGTTACCATGAAAAAGCTGATGTTTTCAAGATGACGTGGATTGTCACACCAACAGTCCCAAATCCAAACATACTCAATTTATAAACGCTGAACAGCAGTAAAACTTCACATTCATATTTCTCCTTCCGTCCTCCTTCGCCTAAGGAAGCTGGAACCAGAAAATGTCGATGTTAACAACATAATGTCATTTTTCTGTTAAATAACTAAATTCAGTAATTGTTTTGAAATTAGACCCCCACCATAAAAATATTGTTTTGATGGGATGCTAACCTATTGAAACCAGTACAGAACACTGGTAGTGGTGGAGAACTGAAGATGATCTGGTGATGTAAAGCGGCTGTAGTTGATATTTATTTAATAATATTTTTTGGATAATGTAAAAACAATGTAACAATGTGATTGCTTCTGCCAAAGAAGGTTAAAGTCAAGGGCAACTGGACTTGGTTGAAAAAACTAGAAGACGTTTCGTCCCTCATCCGAGAGACTTCTTCAGTTCTGAAATGATAGTAGGGAAACTCAGCTATTTAACCTCTGTGGGGTTGTTTGCCAAGATCATCGATACCGCTGGTTCGTTAGTGCTCCTGGCTGTTATAATGACAGTCGTTATGATCGTTAGAACCACCAAGTCTGAACGACTATCATTGGCATCTTCACCTGAGGCCAAGAGGTATCGCTTGTAAAGTTTCCTGGGAAGTGATGAAAGGACAGCATTGTAAGTGGGGGATAAGTGATGGCATAGACTAGTGTTGTAGTACCCACTTTTTGATGGTCTTGGTCTTGTCTCGGACTCGACCGCTTTTGTACTCGGTCTTGTCTTAGTCTCGGACATTGTAGACTGGGGATTTTATTCAAAGACCAATCAAGACCATAACTTTGGAAATATCAATAAATTGCTTTTGCATTGTCTGATTTATTTGTTTACATCTTTGGATGTAAAACATATTGCTTAAAATGCAACCAGTAACCCCAATTATAAATGTGTTGTTACCATTAACAACCATCACCCCTACCCGCTATGGTAAGCATGGAAAAGGAGCAATGAATAAAGATGCTTATGTTGATTTCAGCTCTTAGTGTTTGTATGTGGGTGTTTTAATTGGAATGTGGATCTTTCAGATCAATTTGAGAGGTGCCTATGATCTCATTCCACATTTTATTGTGTGCCATGAAATGTGGGGAACTGGTCTTGGTCTCGACTTGGTCTTAACCCCTAAAAGTTGGAGTTTGGGCGGTCTTGACTACAACACTAATGTAGACCACCTCCACTGTTCAGCAACGGCTTCTCAACCCAGGTGTAAATGGCTTCTTTGATACCTCTTTCAAACCATCCATCCTCTCTTTCTAAAATGTGCAACTGGTGATCCTCAAACGACTGTCCTTCAGATGTAAATAAACTGCTGAGTCTTGACCTGAGGAGTTAGCCCTTCTGTGTTGAGCCATGTGTTTGTGTAGAGGTTGTTTAGTTTCCTGTAAACCCCAATTTGCAGGCTCCTATCCTTTCAATGTGTACAGCACAGTCCAGGAAGGCTAAACTGTTGTGGACTCGTGTGAACTTGATGTTACTGCCCACAGAGTTGATCTGTTCTGTGAAGGCTTGCACTTCCTGGGTTTTAATTTTGACCCAAGTGTCATCCACATACCTGTACCAGTGGCTCGGTGCTGTTCCTCTGAACGAGTGGGCTTTGCTCTCCACTTCTTCCATATAGATGTTAGTCACAATAGGGGGATACTGGTGAGCCCATGGCACAGCCATGCTTCTGTCTGTAGAATCTTCCATTTTACTGGAAATAGGTGGTGTTTAGACAGAGGTCGAGTAATTTACAGATCTGGTCAGGGCTGAGGCTAGTTCTGTTGTCCAGGGTGTTGTCTTGTAGTGGCCATTTCTTTACGGTTTCTACTGCCTCCAGTGTGGGGATGCAGGTGAACAAAGAAGTCACATCATAGGACACCATGGTTTCATCTGGGTCCAGTTTCAGTCCTCGAACTTTGTTTACAAAGTCAATGGAGTTTTGGATGTGGTGAGGGCGTGTTACTCACCAAGGGGGCTAATATGGTATATATGAGTTTGGCGATGTCGTAGGTGACTGAGTTAATGCTGCTGATAATGACCCTGAGTGGGGCTCGTTCTTTGTATATCTTGGGTAGTCCATATATGCATGGAATGGCTTCTCCAGGATACAAACTAATATTATAACAACTAATATTGTTCACGGATGATGGTGTTTTCTTTCTGTAGCTGTTGTAGACATTTTGTAGACATTTTGTTGTAGACATTTTGTTGTAGCCTTTTTCTTGTATCCACTGTTTGGGTCTCGCCTCAGTGTCTCATATGTGTTTGTGTCCATTAGTAGTGTGTTGACCTCGTCCTGGTAGTCCACTGTGTTTATAACAGCCAGGAGCACTAAAGAACCAGCGGTTCAACCCCACAGAGGTTAAATAGCTTAGTTTCCCTACTAGTCATTTCAGAACTGAAGAAGTCTCTTGGATGAGGGATGAAACGTCTTCTAGTATCTTCAACCAAGTCCAATTGCCCTTGATTTTAACCTTCTTTGGATAACTATGACCTGGATGACTGAGAACCTTCAAAGACAATGTGATTAGTTTGTGTGATGAACCTACAAAGACATATCATTTGAATGTAGAGCTCCTCCTTTATGAAGCTTTATATTGATTTTCATGTCATTGTTTAGCTGTCCACTCTTAACTTTCTCTCTGTCTTTTTCTGTTGTTCTTGATTCTACACAGGTGAAAGAGGATTGGAAGTATGTCGCCATGGTGATTGACCGCATCTTCCTGTGGATGTTCATTATTGTGTGCCTGCTTGGGACCATAGGCCTCTTCCTACCCCCTTGGCTAGCTGGCATGATCTAGCCTTTTTGAGAAAGAGTAAAAAATCCATAATCACCAATAGTTAGTAATGTATGACATTCAAAATGTAGCTGAACTCTACTTTTTGACTGGGAATGTGACTCAAGTTTGTGTGACTTGCTACGTTAGTGGCCTCATGAGGCTAACGCTCTTTACACAACACCAAAACAAAAGGGTTTATCCTCTGTACAGCAGTCAGTTTAGGATGTCTTAGACTCAGCTTGCCAGGCTCAGCTGTACAGTCTTGGCTCAACTTTCATCTGTCCAAGCTGCATTTTGTCGGCCGTAGTTCCTCAACCTCACCTGTAATATTATTTAGGCTGTGTTTGACCCGAATGCTAACATTAGCATGTTAACGTACCCAAGAGTTAGCCATTTTTAACTTAAAGCTAGAGTGCTGAACTATTCGCAGTATACCTGTGTTTAAATCTAGTGTCTGTGGCCACGTTCCCGCACTGGCACACAGGTAGTGATGTGATTTATGCCAGCCAGCAATGATTGGTTTGCCTGAAGGGGGAGCAACCATAGCGACAGCAGCAACTCAGTATGGCAGAGCCTATACGTCATAAGCACGTGTCAGCAGTCTTATATAATTACATTCACTGTCAGAAGAGGGAGACAAATGTTTCGCGCTGCAAGTTTAAGTTAATCAATTGTTGGATGTTGACATGGTAATGTTTAGCACGTAAGATTTGCCATGTTAGCGTGTCAATGTTAATATGCCAATGTTTAGTAGTAGTTATAGTTGTCTCATTAGCATGTTAGTTAGTGTAACATGCTACTTAAAAAGTGTGGTGGCAGCATCAGTGTTGGGTAAGGTGTAACATAGTAATCTTTATGTCTTAGCTAGGGTGGAATGATCAACATCATTTTTTGTCTCTGTGCCTTCAGTGGAGAGACTAGTCAAGATCAAGGGGGAACCTCAGAGTCTAAAAAGTGAAGCCAATGTGGAAGTGCCTTAAACCTGCATTCTTTCTAATGACCAGCAGGGGGTGACTCCACTGGTTGCAAAAAGAAGTCTGATTGTATTAAGCTTATGGAAAAAATTGCCCTTACTTCTCACTTGAATTATTACCTCAGTTAACACTTTGATAATGAGCTTATGTTCTTAATTACTAGTTTCAAGTCTTCTTCAATACCGCATGATGTTCATTTCTAAATTATGTTCCAATTTAGAGAAAAATACACCATAAAGCAGGCTGTGCTTTATTTTGTGATTGCTAGGCTATTACAGATACCTTTCAATCAGGATAGAGGCAAACTTGTTTTGGGGCGCTGTCGTGACATTTTGGTTGCCTGTAAATGTCTTAAATGGTCGGTTGTACTAAAAGACACTCAAAGGAGTTGAGCTGTTAATTTTTAACCAAATTTGTCGTATTTACATGTTTTCTTCTTAACTGTCCAACTAGCTGCTGGTATACCCAGAAACTGTCTGGGTTTTGTTTAAAGTTGTACAGGTTGTAAATAGAGGTCTGTGAGGACTGGACTCTGAGGTCACTGGGGCTAGCTGTTAATGGACAGTAGCTAAATACCTCCAATGCCTATAGGTTGGCTGCACCACAGAGTGTGAGAATATGGCGGCTTTGGAGTTTGTAACACAAGCTGAGCTAAGTAACTAATTACTGCTAGTGTTTAGTTACTAGTGAAGTGAAGTAATTCCATTTTTATTTTCCAATAAGAAATCAGTTTGATTAAATTTTCCAAAAACTTGCCCAACATTGCTCAGCAGCACTAGTCTATAAATTCATGTGATGCTGACAGGAACTCATTCAGCACTTGTGTGGAGAGTGGAAATTTTGATGAATGGTTAGTAATGCTTGATGGGCATGGTAAGGTGATCACCAAAGTCATTAGGATGCATCTTCTGGGGACACTTAATGTAGCAAATTTCACTGCAGTCCATGTCAATGTCATTTAAGATGTCAATGTCATTCAAATGTTGGACTGACACAGTGACTGACAAAAATTACGATGAGAAGCTGGGTTTTTGTCAGAAAATTAAAAAAATTCAGTCATGAACTTCATTCAATCTAAAATGGGATAGCTGTAAGTTTCTCAACTTTTTTTTTTAGGTTTGACCAACAGCGGCATGCTGTATTAGGAATAAATAGTATTTTTACAGGTTTCTCTTTCTGGCCATGCTGCCATGATTACACTTGAATGACAATATTATGTAATAAATACCCTTATGAAAACCTTTGAATGTCAGTCTACATAGCATTTATTGAGTGGTGTGAAAATTACTTAAGGCCAGCAACAGGTTGAGTCATTCCTGCAGTTCATCGTAATTCAGTTTTACAGCCTCATTATGTTATCCAAAATACAAATGCTACTGCTCATGCTCCTACATCTCTCTATTGTACAGTTTAACTGATGTAAGAGATAATTTAATCTTAACGTTAGTTATTAATGTCACTGTAACATACATAGGTAATCAGTGAGAAACAGTGAGTGATAATATGAAGAACAACCGAGTCTGCTGTATGCTCAAGGACCTCTCGTGGTTGCGGTGATCCACAATTTTTTAAAACATATTTTATGGACTGAGCCTATTATAAAGCTTAAATTTTCATCTTTTCAGCAGTATTTTCCATTAACAATCGCTACGCTAAAAACAAGGCTTACCTATTTCACCTTTTGCAGGCCACATTTTGGCCTTTGTTGTGGCTCAATAACTGACATCCATAGGAAAGTCTGGTCTCTTCTTGAATCGGACAATCTACACATTTATTCCATACTTGGTATGTTATGATCCACTTAAGTTAAGCATGATACGAGATGAATAAAGCCCCGTTTTTGTTATACACCGCCATTTTGACTGTAAGGAAGTTAGAAGTGACAATTGAGGGAGATTTAACTCTTCTTTGTTTGGGAGGGGCGAGGGAGGTAGGGAGGAATTTTATTTTGTGTGGTGTGATACAACAAAATGTTCTAAATAAATAAGTTTGGACTTACTGTCACTATTATTTTTCCCTTACTAAGTTTACACAGTCTGCTCATTTACAATACAATTACACTATCCAATGCATCCTAAGGACATCCTAACACTTTATTAAGAACTTTGCATACATCTATATAAGAAAACATACACTATACTATACAAAAACATTGTCCCCTTCATTCCACCTCTCTCATGCGTACCCACTGGACACACAGCCTGCCCTTCACTCTCTGTTCCCCACCTACTTGCCCCCAGACACACCTTGTGTTGCTCTGCACTCATAGTGAGTGTACTCTGCTAGTTAAGGATTCCTACCATGTCAGTATATTTATGTACTGTATGCTGAAACACAATGCTATAGTGCTGCAGGGGGGACAAAGTGAAGGCAACAACTGTACGATATAATGCAGACCAATTCAACAGCCAAAAACAATGAGAGGAAATGCAGAACATCTAAGATTTACTATGCTCAACAGCAACAAGAGATATGTTTCAATGAACAGGCATTAATGTATGGTAAATATCATGATATTTATATCAATTGATTTACATGCTAGAATTTCACATTTAATAATAATATAATGGGCATAATGCAAAAATATGTGACTCTTTGAGTACCTTTGATATATATGATAACCCATACCATTGTTGTCTTCATCTCATAATAATTCTAACATATTAAAACTTGAGATACCGTATGTACTGTATATACTGTATGTAAAACACTTTTGAACAGCTGAATGACTGACAAACCTTTTGGTTTTGTCATCTTTACATTTCACTCAGGTTACTACTGACAGGTTTGAAAGAGTGAACGATTTACTTTAATAATCATTACACTATTCTTTCTTTTTCTCTGCGGTAAAACCTATGGTATTTGTCAAAAGACACTATTTTATATCTACAAGGATAATTCAATTTCTGAGCAGATAATTAAATCAATAACTCACCAATCACAAATGAGAACTCTTTACATTAAATAAAGTAAATAAAGTCTCTCTGAAATGACAGGATCCTAAACATACTGCCAATAGACGATCATCAATTTCTGTATACATGTTATACTACCTTGGTAAGAATATGCATCCACTTTTTTCCGAGTTGTCCATATCCACTGAGTTGAATTTAAGTAGTTTGATCAAAATAAAAATGATTGTGGGCAAATGTTATTTCTGACTGACAGATGTGAGAAAGTCGGATTTAAGCTTGATGTGTAAACTCAATGAAAGAGTTTACAGTCCACTATGGGGCCGCTGGTTTGGCTAAGTTGGCCCTGACTCTGGCTTGGTCTACCGCATCCAACATGTTCTTGCTGTCCATAGCCAGAGAGTGTGCTGCAGCCAGCATCTGCTTCTTACACTCTTCCTTCAGAGAGGTGATGGAATTCTGCTGGGCCAGGCGCATTTTGCTGATCAACTCCGCCATGTCTTTGTTCAGCAGCTTCTGAGTGCCCTCGATCTGTGGGGACGGTAAACAAACATGACTTTTTTGGATGGGCACAATTGGCCTTCTTCACAGAAGAGATTTACAGTAGAAAAACACGGGTCTAAATAAATAATAATAGACATGGGCACTATCTTTGTGAAGCTTCTAAACATTTTGGTTGAAATTGCTACACGGATGTGTTGAAGCAACTCAACTGCATCACATTATCAGCTGTTTGTGTGATTTTGTCCATGCAGCACATACTGTATGTGATTCCTTACATACATTTTGTTGACCCACTGTGCACATGTCAGCTGGTTTTGTTTGAAGTAAGCAAGAAATTAATCAAATTTAATATTTTTTTGTGCCACGTTTTATAAATTGTTTAACACTGTGGCTTTGTAGAAACTGTTCGATTATGCAAGCTATGGATTTTGGGTGCGAGTAAACATTAAATGGCACGGGGTCAATAAAGAAAGGGAGCAAGGCAATTAGAAAACACAGCAAACAAGCTGCAGATAATATACCGTACCTCAGTCCTGACAGACTCGTGTAAGGTGGGCAGTATTTCATCCACACTGCGAATCAGATCTCGTAAAGCCATGCCTACAGACTGTGGAGGGAATTCATCAATTGTTTGACTCAATTTAGACACCTTAAATTTATAAACTGTCTACAGCAGCAACAAACTATAAAATGAAAGTTAAAAATATTTAATTTCTCTCAGTGTACCTGGACTACGGTGATATATTTTTCCGGCTGCACCTCGGTGATGTCATTCTTGAGTTGGACAACAACTTTGACCAGATTCATGACAGAGTTATACACTTTGTCGTCAGAGCGGTCGAGCTCGGCTGTGGGTGCAGGCTGAGTAAGAGGGAATAATGTGTCATTACTTTACACAAAGGATCACTGGACTATTTTAAATGCACGGTAACATCAATTCAACTAAAGGGTAACTTTATTTTCTGAACCTAGAAATCAATGCTATTAAAAATAAATTGTGTTTTCAGTGGTACAAATGCTAACAATACAGAAATGAAGTGAACTACCTGTGCTGTGAGCCGTGGGGGCTTCTCTGGAGCCACTGCAGGGCAGAAAGAGGAACAATAAGACAGACAGAGAAAGAGAAGACAAAAGACAGACAGAAGGACTCAAGAGGAATAATAGTATTCAGAAAATAAACGTGTAATGTGAGTTTCCTTTAAGCGCTTACCATTCTTGGCATCAGCTTCAGCGGCCTAAAAAGAATAAAAGATAAATCTCATGAGCACAAGAAAATACAAACAGCCTGTCTGAACTGTCACTATCAAGATATCCAACAGCTCACAAACACTACAGACAATAATGCTCAAAGGTAATCCTAGTAATCATCAGAGAAATTCATTTCAGACTGAAATTGTTATGAGATATAATTTATAATCCTCCAAAGGAAACTTTACAGAAATACAAGAAGGTTAAAGGAAAAGTTCCATGTTTTCACTTACACCATTGTATATCCACAATTTGTGATCACTCAATACCCTGTGATAAAATCTTGCTAATTAGTAGTATCCACTTTCACTAAATGTGCCTCATGTATTTCCCAGAATGCCTTATGATAACCTCAAAGAACAAGTTTTTGCTTGTAGTTATAAGAGTGATAATTGTATTGGATTGTTGCAAATAAATAAAAGTGCATCAATTAATATATTTGTGACTGGAGGACAAGGTAAAACATGTATTTTTTGTACCCTTTTAATTAAGATATTGTATTATTTAAATATATATGTGTATTGATATTATAAATGTTATATTTCTTAATTAAATATATGAAGAAGAGTGATCACACACTGCCATCATTGCACTTCCACAGGATTGATTACCAATTTAAATAATCAAGCTTACTTTACAGTTGCTTTTTGGTAACTGGAAATAAACTTAAAATACTTACACATCATGGTTGACTTCGCAAACTATTGTGTGACGTCATGCTGAATTTTGGTCACTACATTTGGTCTGAGCTACATTGCCAAGAGCTGTTTGGCTAACATGTCCCTTTAATCTGGCTCTGAAATCAAAGTTTGCATTTGCACCTACCACAGGGCTGACAGGGTCCTCTGGTGCCATGGGGTCCTGCAAAAGAACAGGCAGGTTCATTTTATAGAATATGGACATGGACACAAAAAATAATAATGTTCTGTTTCCTACCAGGAGTCTTTCCTCCTTCTCTAGCCACTTTTTATCCTCCATCATCTGCTCTTTCTGCTGGCGGAGAGTGTCCTGCATGTTGTGTCTCTCTCTCTGCCACAGGAGCTGGGCGTCCTCTTTGCTGTTTGGTTCCATTCGGAGAAACTCGCCCTCCTA